TTTTGATGATCCAGCAGATGTTGGCAATTTGATCTCCGGTTCCTCTGCCTTTTCTAAAACCAGCTTGAACATCTGGAAATTCACGGTTCACGTATTGCTGAAGCCTGGCTTGGAGAATTTTGACATTGGAGTAGTCCCCCCTTTCTTGTGATTTTGCTTTCCATGGTTTCATTTACCATAATCAACCATGGTCCAGAAATGCTGAATGAAAAATTCCAGAAATAAACAGTTCATAAGTTTTAAATTGTGCACTGTTTTGAGTAGCATGATGAAATCTCTTGCTATGCCATTTTGTCTTGGCCAGGACCTAAATCATCCCTTTGTCCAGCATATCCTGCCTCTTAGACATATAGTAGCCTAATTTTACTTAATAACAGCCTCAAAGTACAAGAATAGAGAGGTTGGCAACATGAATATGCCAAAGAGAAGCTGTAAATTGCTTTCTTTAAAGTGAAAAGTTGAAATTTCTAAACTTAATAAGGAAAGAAAAAATCATATACTGAGCTTGCTAAGATCTAAGGTAAGAATGAATCTTCTATCCATAAAATAGTGAAGACGGAAAAAGAAATTCATGCTAGTTTGCCAAAAACTGCAAAAAGTTACTGTCACAGTGCATGATAAGTGCTTAGTTACAATAGAAAAGGCATTGTATTTGTGTGATAAGATGTTTTGAAACTGAATCACTTCGCTATACAGCAGAAATTGACACAGCATTACAAATCAACAGTGCTGTCCTGTCCTTCGTCACTCAGTCGTGTCCGACTCTTTGCGACCCCATGGACTGAAGCCCACCAGGCTTCTCTGTCCGTGGGGACTCTCCAGGCGAGAATACTGGAGTGGGTTGCCATGTCTGCCTCCAGGGATCTTCCCAACCCAGGGATCGAACCCAGGTCTCCCACACTGCAGGTCTCCCACATCAGCCACCAGGGAAGCCCAAGAATACTGGAGTGTGTAGCCTATCCTTCTCCAGGGGATCTTCCTGACCCAGGAATTGAACTCGGGTCTCATGCATTGCAGGAGGATTCTTTACCAGCTGAGATACCAGGAAAGCCCAAATCAACCATACTTCAATTAAAAAAAAATTAATTTAACAGAAGATATTTTGAGAAAGAGAGAAAAGAGACCACATTAATTTTTATTAGTGTATTATTATAATTGTTCTATTATGTTATTAGTTATTGTTGTTAATCTCTTATTGTGCCTAATTTATAAATTAAACTTTATCTTAGGTAGGTTTGTATAAGAAAATATAGTACATATAAGGTTTGGTCCTACCCATGTTTTTAGACATCTGCTGGAGGTCTTGGAATGCATCCCCCTTAGATAAAGGGAGGGGGGACTGCTGTACTTTTCAAATAATGTCATCTGGTGTTGAAGTATTTTTAAAAAATCAAAATTTATTCATACTTCAAAACCAAGTTCCCTTGGCATGAAAGGTAAACAGTTTCAAAGGGGAGGGACATTCGGAGTCCCACTCTTATCTCCTCTGGACAAAAGTCACGGGCAAAAGGTAATGACAACCACCAACTCTCTTACCCTGTTTCTAGCACAAAATGGTCTCTATTCTCCAGTATAAAAAAAAACACTAAAAAGGAAGTAAGAATAATCTGGGCAGAGAAGAACTTCTCTCAGGAATTTGTGCAAACCTTGCACATTCTTTCTTCTCCTTCGTTTATACATATATTTGCTTGAATGATGGAGACTTTGTGTCTGGGAAATTCCTGAGATCATTAAAAAAGTAACAAACTATGCCTGTCTCAGAAATGGAAAATTCTTCCAAGCATTTTCTCAATCATTAAAATTTACTGCCAGTTGTGAGTTGCCTTTTAATTAACTTGACTGTTTTGTGCTTCACTTGGCCCTTTTCAGGTAGGGTAAGGTTGGAAACATTTGAGGAAACTGTATCTGTGGTGAGGGACTGTCCCTTCAGTGTACATACTACATGGCTTTGGAGAGAAGCTCTGGGCTCTGAGCTCAGATGTATTCATCAAGTACTCTTCAGAGCTGACAGAGGTGGCATGATACAGCCAAAAATTAAAAATGTGCAGTTACCTTTGGCCCTTGTGAAAAGCAAGCAATGTGCTATGAAAACACAATACAATTTAAATAAAATCTCTGCATCAGTGCTAGGGAAAATATATTTGTATATATATTTGGGGATTGGCTCCATGGGCCTTAACGAGAACAATTTGAGAAAAAGAGACAGTAAAGAAACAATGATTTCTATCATTCCTATGAGGAAAAAGATATGTGTGTGTATGTGAAATGAAATATTTCTGTGAAATGAAATATTTTCTACTATACAAGTAAACAAGTCATGTTACACACATCAGGGATTCCAAATGCAAATTTTGGAGCCCAGGTGAAACACCACCAGCCATGCAGCAGCCATCAGCCACTTCCTCCCCAGTATAAGCTGAGAAGCACAGAGTATTCAAGAAACCACAAGAGGCAGCCATCCACCACCCTTTACAGTGAACAAGGAGATAAGGATGAGAATAATCAAAAAAGTAGGATTTGGCCCCAAATATAGCTGAGATGCATGGGCTTCCTGGGTGGCACTAGTGATAAAGAACCTGCCTGCCAATGCAGGAGACAAGCAACTGTAGTTAATAACACTAGATTGTATTTTGAAAGTTGCTAAGAGACTAGATCCTAGAACTTCTCATCACAAGGAAAAAATTGTAATTATGTGTAGTTATGGGTGTTAACTGGGCTTCTCTAGTGGCTCAGACCATAAAGAATCTGCCTGCAGTGCAGGAGATCTGGGTTGGGAAGATCCCCTGGAGGAGGACATGGCAACCCATTCCAGTATTCTTGCCTGGAGAATACCAGAGACGGAGGAGACCAGTGGGCTACAGTTCATAGGGTTGCAAAGAGTTGGACATGACTGAGTGACTAAGCACATTACATGAGTGTTAACTATGTGTTAACTTCTCATGGTGATCCTTTGCAATATATACAAATATTGAACCATTATGTTGTACACCTGAAACAAATATAATGTTATATGTCAACTACGTTGCAATTAAAACATTTTTTAAAAATAAGCAAGTTCTTACGCTCAAATATATTCACAGACATTCAGTCCCCTCAGCCAAAACACAGTTTTCTAACAGATTCTCCACACAGGCACCTAGAGCTCCCTGAATGTACATGCACAAATATGCAACACCAGGAACTGACCCCAAGATGTTGAAAGACATTCAGCCAAACAACAGAATTACTCACCAACTCATCAGCACACTCTAACCACAAAGAAAACAGAAGGGTGTATATTGACGCATACCAGGTCACAGACACACCACACACACCCTTAACGACCTACAGATATATCCAGAGGTTAGGGAGGAGACAAATATACATGAGGC